AACAATATCACCATTTTTGTTCAATAAGATACCAAAGTGGATGATTGACTCATTCCATACTAGAAATAATTGCAAGAAATCTTTTGATAACACATATTCCTATTTCTTAATGATATCCCACGATCAAGATAATTAATTGAATCCCGTGAATACAGTGACAATTGGTCTTGATTAATGGTAATTTTTACCGCTTGGTCTGTATTTACTAGTAAATACAGTATTAAACGGTCGCCAGAAACATTCACCGGAAAACGGTCGCCGATCCCAGCCATAGTGGACTTGATTATAATATACCTATTTTAAAAAATATGCTATAATTTACTATTTTTTAAAAAAGTAGATGTTTAGGGGGGGAAGTGAGGTGGAAAAGAAGGTTTAGAGGTATTTTTATGTTTTTAATAAAGTTTAAAACTTAAAATATCAAATTATGCTATAATTTATTATTTTTAAAAAATATGCTATAATTTACTAATCATTTTATCAATTATGTTATTTCCCTCCTTATTCCTATAATTATTTGACTAGAAATTATATTAATCAATAGTAAAGATTAAAATCAAGATCCATACACTTTTAAGAGATATTCGTCGAGATTTCTCCTAAAATGAGTACTTAAGCAATAAAGTCTTCAAATCCATAGAAATTTTAAAAGGATCAAGGTATTGGAAATAGAACATAACGCTTGGACCAAAGTCAATCTATCATAATCCTCATTAAAATAAATAAATAAATAATAGAAAAGCATCTATAGAACATCACCATCTTGCTTCGCGTACGACCAATCAGTCCACAGTTAAAAAAAAAATCCATCAACAAACGGCTTATAAACGATGGTAACCACATGAAACGACAATAATACGGTAATGCGACGTTAAATGGATATCCTATAACTTTGACATTAGTTAGGTAAAGAGAATGGCGTTGAAAATGATAAGAATTTGAAACCAGTAACATCCTAAAAAAAAAAAAAAACCAATGATAAAAATGACGACAAAAAAAGGTAAAACGACTGTTTCGTTAAAAAAAAAAGAAGACTAAAACATATTTGTAAAGCGAATCAGATTTAGAGAGAATTACAAACACGTCTTCTTCTTATGCAAGTGACAGCTTAAAAAACTAAACAAACAAAAACTTAAGTGAAAAACGACGATGAGTAAGAAACACATCATCTTATGAAAACGACGATGTATAGAATCTAACATCAACTGAGAAAAACAAAAACATAAAAATAGACTAACTTCATTTCCAGAAAGAAAGAAAGACAATAAAGTGATAGCCACAACGTGTGCAAAAGAATAATAGATGAAAAAATGACAGCATCCTAAAAACGACATGAAATTAGCCACCATCATCTTAGAGAAAAGTCCACTTAAAGAGACATCATAACAACAACGATAACATTTAAAAAAAAAACCGACAGAAAAATGAAAATGGGCGTGATTAGAAAAAAAAGGACGACTTCCTAGAAACAACACGACTTGTAGTTGTATAGAATAGTGTTGGAACTTTAGACGAGCACTCGTGATTGTCTGAAAAAACTAAATTTAAGCCCGACACCCGAATCTACTTGTTTGAATTTTTTAGGCCGCCGGCCCAAGTTCGAGTAAACCCTGGATGGGCCGCAGTTCTGGTTTTGGCTACCCTAGCTCGGTTGGGCAGCCCAAGCCCGCCTGAATGTGCTCAAAAATTGTTTTTTACTATATTTTTAAAATTTTTAAACTATATTTTAAATTTTTTTTAATATTACATATATATTATATATAATATACTATTATTTATTAATTGTATTTGTATATAAATAATTATTAAGTTATTTTGTGTTAAAATTATATAAAAACTAAAATCAACACACATTATTAACACAATTTAAAAAATTAATTTTGTATATTAATTTTTAAATTTATAATTTATGATTGTCTCGTTAAAAATCTTATCAAGAAAAACCTAATTGGGATAAAAACTTGGTAAGGAAAAAAGAGTACAATCATTTTGTGACGAATTACAAATTTTACAAACTTACAAAGTCTAAATACACAATTACAATGTCGAAAGTAAATACATATTTACAAATTAAAATTTAATTTGAAGCTGAAGGATCGTCTTCAAAATTAAATATTAATCTATTAAATTCATCGATCAATTCTTGACTTGCTGGTAAAATTCACCTAAGTTTTTTAAACCAACTTTTAAACCTTCTAATTTTAATCTACGATAAAAAAATACCGAAACCATACAACATTAGTAATTTAGACCAATATTTTTAAAATTTTTTTTCCATAGAAGCTATAGGAACTGCTAAAAGTGGGTCATTTCTAAATTCACTAAATAAAATACCCATTCTTAATAGTTCACCTAAACTAAAGGTGATGTTGAGTAATATGTTCTACTAGGTTTTAAAGTAACTTCATGAAACCTACCTAAAAATTGATACAAAGTTTCGGCAATTTGCCAATCATATGCGTCTATATGTCATACTCCTAATTTTACACTAATATACTTTGTTATAGCATCTTTATAGGGGATGCATTGTTAAAGCATTATATAAGTTGAGTTCCATCTTACAGGCATATCTAAGGCTAATGCTCTAGGAGTTAGAATGTTAGATTTAGTATTTGTAACAACCTAAACCAATCTTGTTGTCTTGAGTTACTACCCTGAATCCATGCAATACTATCTCTAATTGCTTTTATATGAATAGTCATTGATTTTAAACCAAATATAACTATTAAACTAATTACATGGCATGCACAATATTGGTGAAAGATATCACCATCACCGAATAAACTTCATTTTTAAAATATTCAATTGCTTTAGTATTTGCACTAACATTATCTAATGTTATAGCCATCACGTTATCTCTTAATATATATTCATCAATTACATTTAAAATTGTATTAAAAATTAAATCAACGCTATGTGATCCTATAACACATTTACAACCTAATATTCTTTTATCTATCTCGAAGCCTTTAAAGTAATGTCCGGTTACAGATAAATAATCTTTGTTGGCAACGGCATACCAAATGTATGCCGTTAACGCAACGCAACCGCTAGTAGAGTGTAAAAGGTTTATTAATGATTCTTTTTCTTGTTTAAATACTTTTAACAAATCTTTCTTAAGAGTAGTTTTTGAAGTAAACTGTGCATTAAGATTATGTACAACTTTAATATATCGCAGCCAATTAGGATGCTCTACAAAAAGTAGTTGATCTAATGCAGCTATCATTCGCGCAACTTCTATATGATCTACTTGCGGATCGTATTTCAAAGTTGTTAGATCACCTGTTGTGTGATCAAAAAATAATTGTGTTTGGCGGAGTTCGGCTCCGCCGGTTTGGCCACGCTTTTGAAGACACTTTTTGGAGTGTCTTCTTAAGTGTGTTGTGCCATGAATAGTATCACCTTTTAATTTAGAAAAGTAACATTGATATTGAGCTATGTGTTTAGTGTTACCGTCATTGTCGACCTCCTCAATTGTGTTGAGTGCTCCCAAACTGTCGAGGTGCGCTTGCATTTCTTCTTGGAGCTTGCAACACTTGCAGTAGCACTTGCACTTGCCTCTCCTCCATGCCCACCACCATTGCGACCACAACCTCCATTACGTCCACCATGGCTCGGATTTGCAGATTCCTCAGTTGGCTATGTTTGCGATTCCTGCATAATAAATTTGTTAGTAGGAAATTGCCCTTCCACATTTTGTTGGACTTGGGCATCAACAGGAATATCACTATAACTAAAAGAATCTATTATATAAAAATTGTGAGAGAGAGCGCTTTAGGATATTGTGTAAGTTTTTAGAAAAATTATGAAAGAGATTTGAGAGATTGAGAGATTGAGAGAAATTGAGAGAGATTGAGAGAGTTTGGGTGAGGAAAATGTTTGGGGGGATGAAGGGTATTTAAAAAATTGAAGTTTTCCCCCAAAATTCGGATTCAATGGCTACTTTTAAATTTGGTGGGTCGGATTCGGACCGAAAAATCGGGCAATGGTAAAAAAACGAGCCGTTGGAGATTGAGCTCTAGGGCGGCGGGTCGGGTTGTGCAAAAAATTTGAAAAAACTAGCCGTTGGGCGGGCTTCAGGCAATTCGGGTATTTGGGCTCAAATTTGGGTCAGAGGGAAAAAATTAAAATAAAAAAATCGACGGTCGACGGTAGGCAAATTGGCGGCGGGCTTCTACGATGGTGTTGTTTCTCAAGCAACCCAAGCCCGAGCCCACCCTAGTGCGTGGACAGGCGGCCATGGGTCCCTGCCCGCCGAACCAGAAAGATTCGGGTCTTGGGCAGGCCCGCCGACCCGAAGTTCGGCCACTAGTAAAGAAACAACAAACAAGTAACAACGACAACCGCAATATTCCACAATGACAATAACGTAAAACGACACGATTGGAAGACGATATTATTTACACCATTGAAAGACGATATTGAACAATATAATGATGATAACAATACTTTAACAACGACAACTGAAATAAACTTAAAAGAAATAAAGGAAAAAGACAACAGGAAAAGACAACATAAAAAACGACATCAACCATAGAAAAAAGACAGCAATATTTAGAACGACAATAATTTCAGATATCCTTTTTGTGAACAGAGAGAAGGTTGTTGTCATGGATATATCTCAGTTCCTTGATTGAGATTTATTCAGACCATTAAGAAAAAGGAAAAGAAAAAACTTAAGAATGACGGACTGATTAAGCAAATCAATGAAGTCAAAGGAGACTTTTGCTAGTTAGGTATATCAACAACAAAGCAACATTTCTACCTAGTTAACAGAAAAATTTACGGTCGTGGATGCATGATTGATAAAATGAAACTTCTAGAACCTTGAAATGAAAACTGTACATACGTATCACCCGTAAGCAAAATCAAGACCAATTACTGAGAAAAATAATGCATGATAAAGATAGACCAATTACAGAGAAAAATAATGCATGATAAAGATAAACATGTTGGCTAACAAGATTTGAATAGTAACAGAACATTCATCAATTGGGCAATACTCATTAGAACCAACACCATCCGTTCTGTACAAACCAAAAATCAAAATATAACTTACTTAATTGCAGTCTGCAGAATTTCACAAAAGGTGTAATAACAATCTCTATTGAATTCTTTTTTGGCCAAAAACTCACATTATAAAAGTACAAGAAAATAGTCTTTTCATTTAAACTTAATCAAGCAGATTTTAATTCCACATTTTGAAGAAAGAAAGAAAGTGATCTTATCCACTGTTATGTTGCCAAAAGTCGAGCTTTCACCTACCCTCAGACTTCACCAGCTGCGAGAACACCCGGCTCATGGAAACGCCCGAAAGATCATCTAGATTGGTCATTTCGACTGCGGAGAGACTTGTGTTGACGTTGGTGAAGTTGTTAACCTGTGGAGATAGCTCGCCGATCACATTGCTGCTGTTTTCTTCGGGATCACCATGAATCACTGCCTCTTGAAGCTGGAGGGCATACTCCAGATTCCACAATACATCTCCCATCGAGGGCCTGTCGACACCAAAGTCCGCCAAGCATTTCTCTGCGGTTTCCCCAAACTTCCTGAGAGAATCTGGTCTTATTTTTCCCACAAGATTAGGATCTATGATCTGCTCCAACTGCCCCTTTGTCTGCCATTTCATTGCCCATTCAGCTAAATTGACCATTTCCCTGGGGAGGGTTGGATCTATAACAGGTCTTGCACATAGAACTTCAAACAAGACCACCCCAAATGAGTAGACATCTGATTTTTCAGTTAGTTGTTGCCTCCTGAAATATTCAGGATCAAGGTACCCAAAACTTCCTTTCACTGCAGTACTCACATGGGTCTGGTCAATTTCAGGCCCCGCCTTGGAGAGACCGAAATCCGCAACTTTTGCCATGAGATTCTCATCTAGCAAAATGTTTGCAGACTTCACATCGCGGTGGATAACTGCTTTTGCATAGCCTGTGTGAAGGTAATGCAGTCCTCTAGCTGAACCAATGCATATCTCAAGCCTTTCCTTCCAACTTAAGCTCTGAAGACCGCAGCCATAGAGATGACTCTTCAGTGTCCCGTTCTCCATGTACTCGTAAACCAAGATCATTTCATTCTTCTCATCACAGTAGCCAATCAACGAAACAAGATGACGGTGACGGAACTGAGACAACATCTCGATTTCAGTCTGAAACTCTGCAAGTCCTTGTTGGGACTTTGGATTCCCTCGCTTAACAGCCACTTTAGTACCATCACTCAAAACTCCTCTGTAAACCTTTCCAAAACCACCAATCCCAATAACCCAATTCTCATCAAAACTGTTTGTGGCCTCTTGAACCACGGCAAAAGGAATGCGGTAACCATGGTTTGAAGCAATACTCGTGGTTGTTCTACTGGAGTATTTGCTTCCCATAGTGTGGGAATTGCCTCCATTAATGGACAGAGGAATCCATGTCTTGGAATGGCCTTGTAACGCCTGCTGTTTCCTTCTTCTGCACATAATAAACACAAGCACAGCTAACACCATTACAACAAAAGCCCCAATGCTCACACCCACTATTGCTCCAACTTTGTTTTTCGAGCTTGAATCCGAACGCGAAGGGACAGAGTCTGCCACTATGAGGCTGCCCCTAGAATTGTTTAGTTTCATAATCTCCAGACCATTCAGAATAGCATTGGGATCAACACTATCTAAAGTGGACCGTCCAAGACTTACGCGAAGCTTATTTCTAACGGCTGGACGTGTAACAAAGTCCAAATAATATGCAGTGGCCAAAACATTAGCAGATATAGTACTCAAATCAAGATTAGGAGCAACATTGGAGGATTCCACATACACATTGAAGTACAGTTGGTTGAGGGCTTTACTTTCTATGTCACAGAAGTGAAGCCGCAGAAAGTAACTGAACCCTGGATCCACATTGAATTCCCAGGTCACATTGAAATTGTTGCTTGGATTGCTACTCGCGTCCATGGCAGTGGCTGTACCGTATACCATCCTTGAAGCAATATCAGGAGTTGCCCCACCATCAGGGTACTTGACAGCTTGAATATTCGAGACATTTTTTACACCATTCTTGGTTAGTAGAAAGCTCTGGTCAGGAACCCAAGTTCTCCAAAGGGTATCATTCTCAAACGACACCGTTGGACCACCCATATTCACCCTAGCAACCGTCTCCAACGCCTGATACCACAATCCTTGGTAATTCTGCATTGACTCCACGGTTTTCGCATCATCAGTGATCAACGCATCAGGGACCGAAACAACTTCCATGGCATTCAAGAAGGCGAATGAATTTTCAAAAGGGGACAAAGTGATAACAAGGCTGTCTGAGGTTACATTCACAGAGAATTCTTTGACAGAAGTGCTTTGAGCACTGAACTCGCCCAGAAGGACATGGTCTTCGGTGGAAACACCGAATTTCGCGGAGCTCATGTTGTAATTCTGGTACTGAAATGGGAAGAAATAAAGGCGGATCCAGTGTCTACCATGTTGGCTGATTGAGAAGGTGTACTTGGAGGCTTCAGTGAAGATTCTAGCCGTCTGATAGAGCGATGAATCATCATCAGAAGTGATTGATTTCAAGTTGGTATTGGCCAGAACGTCTTGAGGGGTTGAGAGAAACTTGGCACCAGACTTATCCGACATAAAAACACGGTTACCAACAGTAGTGTTCTTTTGGGATCCACAGTCTATGAGGTAATTGTCTACGGGAGTAAATCCAGCACAAAGATATGCCAAAGATAATATGGACCAAACCCAGATGAAAAATTCAAACTTTTTATAACCCATCATCAGAGAATCTGGAAATTTGTAGTGGAACAACCAAAAGATGGGAACTTTCTGAACTTTTAGTTGGTATTGAAACTCAGAGCAAAAAGTAATACAAATACTACAAACAAATCAAGAATCAAAAACCCATGTTGAAAACTGAACAAAGGAAGATGAAGGAAATCACTTGTTGAGGTATTATCAACTCCAATAAAAGAGAGATAGAGAGTCCCAGATGCAAAAAAAAAAAAAAAAAAAAAAAAAAAAAAATTGATATGCCCTTTTGGAGTTAAAAACAGATTAAATGCAATTTGAGATGGTCAAGCAATCATTGCGCATAAATCTTGCACAACATAAGCTGTTAAGAATTCCGTGACAACTAGCTTTTTCTTTTCTTTTCTTTTTTAATTAAAACTTGGTGACAACCTTAGACACCGGATATGACAGGCTCCTAGATCTTTTATGCAAACTAATTAATACAAAAAGCGATATATGATACAACTAGAAACAGAGGGAAAAAAAAAAACACAGAGTCGAAAGGGAGTTGTGAACCTGATTGAATAATGAGGGGAATTTAGCCGGCTAAAGCTTCAGAATAGCTAACCTTGTTTTGGCAAGAGAGTGAAAAAAGAAAAAAAATTTGAAGACAAAAAAATGAAAAAAAGGTAAGCAAAGAATTTATGAAGATGGGTTTACTTTATTTTTCTATTAAAGGCGGTGGAGAAAATAGATAAAATCAGTAACGGACATTAACTATTCAGTTGTAGTTGCAGGTTTAGGCTGAGTTTATGGTTATGGGTTGGCCTTGAAAAGCAGAAAGAGAGAAGGTAAAGGCTTCCCCAGTAGAATTTATTAATATTATTTTTTATTTTTTATTTTTTGTGAATAAAATAATATATAGTGTTGTAAAAAGAGAGCCCAAGTTTAGGGACAAGAAGCACATGGACTCGTGAGGTTCGGCTACTAATTTCAGTATTCAAAGCTGAAGTTGATGATTGATGAATATAGAAAACTTTCAAAATACGTTAAACTATTTTTTTATTTATTTTTTATTTTTTCAAGATTGTGCAGTCAATTTTCTATCTTCCATTATGAATTGGAGCGGAGTACATATATCAACTTCAGTTAGGAAAGAATGGTTGGCACGTAGTAGGAAATATAATATAATATAGAGAAAAAGAGAGAAATAGATTAAGATTTGAGATGAATTAAAATTAATGGGTTAATAGTTTACATAAATTAATAAATAGATTAAATTACTGTTTTTGTCCATAATTTATCTGGTTATGAACCATAACTTGACAAGTTATTCACGGTTTTTGTTCATAACTTGTCTGGTTATGAATCATAACTTGACAAGTTTATCCATAACTTATCTGGTTATGAACCATAACTTAACAAGTTATGGTCTATTAATTACTATAACTAAAAGTTGGTCTATATACTTTCTTAAGGTTTTCATATTGGCATATTTTTTACTATTTCTGTATAATATAATACATATTTCAAGTAATTGTTAGGAAAATGGTTATTTCTACTATTGATCAGCCAAAAAAGAAAAACGTATTATTACATGTTCAAAACGATTATTTCTCAAGTTGAAAGAAAGCAATTATTATTGGGGATTAATAACAAAATCACCCCCTCAACCATAATATTAACTGAAAGTTTCTTTGCCTTTTTAAAAAAAAATCAAAACATGATCACACACAGATTGAGGGTTGAACAATTACTCTATTAACTCATTTGGTGTAGTCACACAAAAGTGAAAGGAGATATCATTAACTTTCCAAATATTTTGAGGCTCTTATTTTGAGAATTTCTCTAGTAGGACTTTTTCATTAGCAGGAGAATCAGTTTTTAATCGTTAAATTTAATCAAAATAACATCATTTTAAAAAAGCATATAAAAAGATCGTTTTTGTACGTTTATAACGACTTAAGCTTGAAAGCAGTAAATTATTACCGGTAGTTTATATTTTTTTTTTCAGATTGGATCAGATAAATTTTCTTTTTTCTTAACAATTAAATTTTTTATATTATATCAACTTTTAAATTTAAAGCTTGATCAAAATACTCTTATATTTCACACTACATGCCGATTATGTCTCAATTCCATTAAAAACCTCAACAAAAAAAGGGGAGACGAATGTTTTATTTTTATTTTTTATATATATTTAAATTGAGGGCACTTTATTACAAGGACTATAGCTAGGAGGAAATCTATTCAAAGCGATAATCAACTGATTAAAGGGTTATTGTATCTCTCGTGAAGCGGCGTATTAATAACAAGTTATTTAGTTAGGTCATATGGTGCAAACAAATTAATTTGAGATAATAGTTAGAGCATTAAAATTCTTGATTCTCTTTCTGCTGAAAATAAGAGAATTGACTGAATTGACTTACGATCATAATTAATAGCAATTAATCCTTGGTCTCATTCAATCCAAACCGTAATTATCGTCATTGAATGTGGACATATATACTTGCACTTGTGGCAACAAATTTCACTATCAAATTAAAGTCCATAAGAAAAAAAAAATTATGGAAGCTGACGTCTCATTAGATTTTAAGTTAAGATTGCAAAAGAATTAGAAGATTAAAGAAGACTGTAGGTCTGTTCTGATTCCTATAGAGTGAAATTCATAATTAGGAGTGCATATTGATACTGGATACTTTATGAATGTTAAATCATATTATATGACAAAATATATATAAAAAAATACGTGAATATGACAAAATTTAATTAAAATTTCATGGTTCAAAAACAATATTTACCAGAAAATTTATTCTTCTTCTTCTTCTTTCTTTTTACTGTTATAAGTTTGCTTAAAATATTTTTACTTTGCCTGATGCTACTTTTTACACCGACACCTTCTAGTGTTCAAAGAAAGATTAGTGAGACCAGAAACGGTCAATGTTTTCCAATGTTAAAAAGGCAGTCACAATCTAACCTAATTCTCTTTATCATATTTGGTACGATTATTGTTTTGCTGAAGTGAACGCATAATTTAGTCATAGAAGAAATGGGATTCAATAATGTATAAAGTTTGCCTTTATATTTTATAAGTAAGATTAATTAACGAATAAATTACAGAGTGCAGATCTCTTCAGCATTATCCGTGCGCTGACAACTGACAACTTGCGAAACGCTGTCATTTCACCACATGTATTAAACAGTAGTTCATGAGCAAAATCCTCGCATTTTCTTTTAAGAACCTTTTGTTTTCTTTCCTGGACCAATCTTTTCTCAACAGGTCATAGACCTTGATGGAATTTAGCTTTTAAGAATAACCGTTCCCATTATGTAAGCATGAGCAAAAAATAAAAATAAAAAATAAAAAAAAATTAGAATATTTATTCATTCCACTACTTTGAGCTAAATAGTCTCATATTTTGATTTTTTTCCCTTTTTCCTGACAATATAGCTTTCTTTTCCTTTTTCTTTTTTTTCTAATCAAACCTGACAATATAGTTTTCAAAACCTTCTAGTACACAAGCCAGCTTTAGATATTCCCACAAGTCAAGATAACTTGTGCAAGAATATAGGTTAAATTAAGACTCAAATGTATATTAAAAAATAATTTACCTCATTATTACAGCTTTATTTTGGAGCACACAGATCTATTTTGTTGCTACAGCTATAATAAAAAGCGCCATAGTTATATAACCATGTTGAGCTTTACAAGTAACGTAATAATACTTATATATAAAAATGAACACGACACAGTTTAAATTACAATTCGTCATTTTTATTATAATATTTTTTATTTATAAAAATTTAAATTTTATTTCAAAATTTTCACTTAAACCCATGAAAACAACGAGACTTCAATCTTTTTATAGTGTTATATATTAGAGTGTGAAAGGCGAAGATAGGAGAGAAAATTGATCATCTTTCCCACAAGAAATTAATTACAAGATACGGGAGAGACAAAGGCAAAAGGAAAGAAGGAAAAAGAGTATTGCGTGTGGGGCAGTTGTCAACTAGTCTCCATGTCATATACAGCTACAAAATGGTGCAACTCTTTGGTTTTTTTATTTTTTGATCTGAGGTGCAACTCTTTGGTTGGCAAAGGGAAACCTACCCGGCTTTAAAATATATATATATATATATATATGTATATGTATGTATATTATAAGGAAAAAGAAACCTAAACCAATTCTTATATTCAGAATATTAGGTATTTAACAATCTCCATTAATATTGTAGCCGTGTACTCGGTGGGATGCGTGAGATATAGCAGAAAAATTACTAAAATGAAGTGGGGACGACCAAAAGAGGAAGAGAGTATTTATCAAGTAACTAACCAAGTATTATAGCTTCAACGACGTTTAAGCTGGGGAAAAAAAAAAGATGAAGATACGACGAAAATTCTTAAATTTCAAGTCTTAACCACCCTAAAGTTGGCCGCGTTTTGTTAAGAATTCATAGGAAACGAAGCCGTTTTAATAATTGAAGTGAGCGATAAGAAAGCAAGGAAAACGACGCTCAGAATAATTCAAAGCTTTAGTGCAGAGCGATAGTTTACGTTTAAGGCCCTAGCACATAGCGTATTGATTGATCATACCGTAAAACTAGTAAAGGTGTCACGCCCCCCAAACGGAGTGGGTGACGTGGAACTCGATTTGAGATTTATAGAGCAGATTTCCAACCGGGTCCCACACTTAACTGCATAAAAATATAAATAAACGACATAATCCAGGAGCCTCTGACACACAGGGCTCCACCCCACAGGACATACAGTATCGTACATACATGCACATGTAAATAATCAATTACAATAGACATCATCCACAGTCTAGTAAATTCAAATGTCATTTATTACAAATTCTTACATATTCCTTACACTTTATGTCAGAGGATGAACACAATCCTCACTTGATCGTTCCGTAGCACCACTCAGCTACTCCCGCTACTGTGCCCCGCTCCTAGAGTCTCCTGGGAGGGGTTTTAGACATTTGAAACATAAAACGTGAGCGAAAGGCCCAGTAGGATATAATTTGAAATATTTAAAATAAATGAGCACATGAATGAATAATTGAATACATAAATAAAATAAGACATTCAGTCCCGACAGAACAGCCGGAACCTCACATCCTTTTTCTCAAAGGAACTATAACTGAAAATAACCATGTTACAGGCTTCA